ATATTATGTTTTATGATCTCTCCGTGTCACCAAGTAGAACTCTGATTTATTGCTTCTAGAACACCATGGGAGAATCCAGTCTCTTTTACTTAACAACCCCCCAAGTAATAAACCCCATGTTGTCTCCACATTCCTATCGCCATCCATAATGCTGCCCTGGGCATCCTTGGACATGTTCTCATGTGTGGCTTGTACACACTTCCCTTAAAGTACCTATTTGAAAGTGGTATTGCTGGGTCCAGGATAAATGCACAGTTAAAGTCACAAAATTTTGCCCCATCATTTAAGGTGGGTCTCAAAACCCTAGCAGCGTTTCATCAGGCAGAGAAAGGCGGGGAAGGGGACAGTTACTGCAAAGGGCTGAGAGAGTCTGTGGTGTGTCCTGCGGTCAGGGAATTATAGGTAAACCTCCCCAAGAGGTGGAAACTTTCATGGGACAACCGTGTAATAAATACTTGACTGGACTGGTTTCTTTTTCATTTTATTTCCTAAAAAGGAAAATAGTATTGTTGTGAATGGTGGCTTGGCAACATCTATTAAAATCTTACCTGTTTATACTCTTTGACCCAGCAATATCCCTACGTGTGCATAAGGAAGTAGGAAGAAAGATGTTCACTGTATTGACATTTGTAAAGGTGGAAAATAGAAAACCACTAATATCTCCAGCAATGGGAGAGGAGTCAGAGGCACTGTACATACAGACTGTGGCTATGGAATACCATTAGAGTGTGAAAAAGGTGAATTTAAATGGAGGAGCATGGAAAGTTCCCCTAAGACATATTGCTAAGTAAGAAAAGCAAGTCTCAGTTTCCTATATCAAGTATCATCCTATTTCCCTAAACACAAAAAATCACAAGGGATATTTCTCAGTTATTTATCTATATATGTAAATCAAGAGTTGGCAAGTTTTTTTCTGTAAAGGCCCAAATGGTAAATATTTTCAGCTCTGAGCACCATATGGTCTCTGCTGCAACTATTCAACTCTGCCCTTGTGCATGAAAGCAGCCCCAGACAATACTAAACCAATGAGCATGGCTGTGTTCCAATAAAACTTTATTTACAAACACGAGCTGTGGGCTGGATGTGGCCTGTGGGGTGTCTTTTCCTGACCCTTGATGTAAATAAATAGTAAGTATTTTTTTAAGAATCCACACCAAATATTATCAGGGGTACATCTGGAAGGGCAAGTGAGGAGGAAGGAGCTGGTGAAGGGAAATGTTACCCTCTTGTTTAAATTTTTTCCACCTTGTG